TTTTTTTGTATGGATGATATGTTAGTCTAGGAACAACTAGCCTTAATTGAAACCCAATATTTAGACGATTCAACTGGTAAAGCTACTTCAATGGGATGACATCTATTACGATCAGAGCTATTTCCTTGCTTATTAGATAGCTTAGTGCAAAAATGTAAATTTCAGTTGATGGCTTGAATGTGCCACGCCCTAGGCAAATTAAACGTAACGATGCGAAATACGCAGGATACAAGGATGTTGTCAAACTTTTAAAGTATGTTTTTTATGTTGTTTTTAACTGCGTAATCCGACGAACTTGCTGGTGACCAATGATCACATCTTGCGTACTTCTTGTTGATGTTTCACCTTTGTGAACACTTGAGTTGACATCTTTCTCTGAAATTACATTGAAAAATGGTGTTCTGAAAAACATCTATTCATAAATGCTAGTCTGCCAAGGTTGATTATATTATAATACCTGTACTCAGATCGAAGATTGACACTACAGCCAATCCATGTGAGGATTTCTACAAATACACTTGTGGAAAATTAGAAGGAGATATGAGCTTCAGCAACTCTGAGTATGAGAATAGAAAGAATATGATCGAACAATTGCATAATAAGGACTACATAGATAGGGCGGTGAGTTTAGTTATATAATCAAAATTGTAGCTCACAAAGAGCAACAGAATGATGGGGTGAAATCATTAAAAGTTTGATTGATTTTTTAATTTCATCTAGAAATTGGTAGATTTGAAAAGATAACAGTGTACCACTTGAAATATAATCATAACTTATTGAAGCGACAACGAGGTAAGCAAGCTTTGATTCGCATCTCATTTTGAATCCTTTTATTTTCATTAGCTTTCGCAGAGGTGTGGCACAATGTGCTTGAGGGTTGTTAAGGTCTTTTGCAACAAAAATAGTGTATTCTGAAAGAGAGGGTAGTAAAAAATTTCATCTCAAACAAAGGTCTCTTCCACGTTACTATAAATATGTAAGCATAGTCATAAATTTTATGTCCACATTATTACAAAAAATTTTAAAATACCTGCAAATGTCTGTTCTTATTCTAAGTTCAAACTTACAGCCAATTCCTGTCAAAATGATGGCGAACTACTACGAGAAATGCGTGTCTGCTAGACTGAAATGGGATGATTTAACAAGAGATGCTCAAATACCAATGAAGGCTATCAATCGCCTAGCAGAAGGTAGAATTTTAAATACGCCTCCTCACACTAAACAAATCAAATTTTATATAAACAAATTCTAAGGGTAAAACAGCTTTTGCTTTAGGAAATCCAAGTCATAAGGACGAGACCCAATTCCGTTTCTATATGCTCTATCAAGACGCACAGGAAAGCAGGTTTCCGTCACCTAACGGACTTGCATTCTTATTAGGTGAATATTAAGCCATGTCTTATATCTTTCTAGACGGACAGTTGGATTAAGGAAACCCTATTGGTATGGACAGCGTGAGCAGTATTGTACCGGCGTATATCGACACAAACTGGAAAGATCCTCATGACAAGGATGGAAACGCATTGTTCATTGACCAGCCTAGTACCATTATACCTTACAAATATCATGTGAAAGCGTGGAACTCAGCCAAACAAAGGTAACACAGATTTTGAGAGATTAAATTGTGCATGCGTAAACG